GAAGTGGCTTCGCACCCCAGAGAGGAGGAGAAAGGAATTAATTGAGTAAGGGAGCGGATGGTGTTCAATCACTGAGCAGGAAGAAGTGGTTTCCAAACATTCCTGGCCGCTCTGTGGCCTCTCAGTGCTCCGGGAGCACTTGCCGTGATTCCAGGTGATTTTTCTGCTGAGGGATCACGGAGCAGTAAATGCTGGGATATCCCTTTCCTGTGACTGAGACAGACAATAAACATCCTAATCTCACTTGCTGCACTGAAGAGTGGATTTACAGCTGTGTGCTGAGCATAAAACAAACAGGCAGAGGATTCCAGGGCAGGCTCCTGCGCTGGAGCAAAGCTTGATTTTTACGGGGTTTTTGTGTTTTGAAATTGGCTGCTTTGATTAATCCAGCCTGATGTGTGCCAAGCTGTTCAGCATAAACTCAGCCCTGCTTTCCCTCCCCCATCTCCCCTTCTCATCCCTCATTTGGTTCTGAATGGCTTCTTACATAAACCAGAGACTGCAGAGATTGAGAGGAAAAAATGTTCTCCATAAATGTATTTATTTTGTGGGTTTCCTTGCATGTTCTCATGGTTGCAAACCTGGGCTTGATGGAGAATAAAAATCTCAGACCCAAAAAAGGTGGTGGAGGCCACAGTCCAGGAGTTCTGTGGCCTCAGCACCTGTCTGGATCCCTGTGTCCCTGGAGGGGTGGCTGGGGAGGAACTGGGAGTTGTCCATGGATGTCCAGGACAGAGGTTTTTGCTGGGCCTGGTGTCTGTTGTCAGTTCCTCAGTCTGTTCCTGAAGTGAAAAAAGATGTCCTGGAATATCCTGAGCTGAAAGGGATGCAGAAGGACCATCCAGTCCAACCCCTGGCCCTGCCCAGGACACCCCAGCAATCCCACCCTGTGTCCCAGAGGATCATCCAAACCCTCCCTGAGCTCTGGCAGCCTTGGGGCTGTGCCCACTGCCCTGGGGAGCCTGGTCAGTGCCCAACCAGCCTCTGGGGGAAGAACCTTTGGCTGAGATCCAACCTGAGCCTGCCCTGACACAACTTCAAGCCTGAGCCTTAGACCAAGGGCAGAGTTTAAGTTTCCCCCTGTTTAAGGCCAAGAACACTCTCAATGAGAGCTCAGCAAGGTCCTTAAATTAAACCCAGTGCACTGGGAGGTTTTCCCAAGCCTCTTAAAACTTGGAGAGTTTTGTGAGGGTGATTTAATGGGATGTATTCGAGCATGATTTAATGGGACATAAAATGCCTCTCATTCTGATATCTCATTGATCTACAGGAGAGACAAAACTCTAAGGTGTCTCTTTCTTTTGGCTATTGATTCATGATATTTTGATATAAGTCCTGCAAGCAGGTGCCAGCCTGTGTTTCATTGGAGACAGCAGGATGTGATGGGGAAAAAAATGTGGCAGGACCTGTGCCTTGGGTCCCCCTGCAGAAGTGCCCTTGGCTGGGGAGCACCTGATGCATGTGGAGGAAAAAATTCCCAGACAACCTATTGGTACTGGTGGGATAACGAACGTGGGCTAAATTAAATATAAAATGAGGTGCTGCTGTTTAACCCTATGGGTAAACTAATCACTGGCACTGACAGGAGTGTGTTGTGGTGCTCTCTCCATTGTATTTAATTTAAATGTAAAAGTTTTCAAATGTCTGGAGTGTTCCCTTGAACATTTCCCTCACTGGACTGAGACTGGGCAGAGCAGATGCAGTGAGAGCTGAGTGTTAGAAATAAAACCTGAGAGTCACAGAATCCCAGACTGGCTTGGTTGGAAGATCATCTTGTTCCACCCCCTGCCATGGGCAGGGACACCTTCCACTAGCCCAGGTTGCTTCAAGCCCCGTCCAACCTGGCCTTGGACACTTCCAGGGATCCAGGGGCAGCCACAGCTTCTCTGGGCAACCTGTGCCAGGGCCTCCCCATCCTCCTAGCCAAGAATTCCTTCCCAATATCCCATCTATCCCTGCCCTCTGGCAGTTTGAAGCCATTCCCCATTGTCCTGTCCCTCCATCCCTTGCCCCCAGTCCCTCTCCAGCTCTCTTGGAGCCCCTTTAGGCACTGGAAGGGGCTCTGAGGTCTCCCCAGAGCCTTCTCTTCTCCAGGCTGAGCAGCCCCTTTTGGACAGCTGGAGAGACTTGAATCCTGAATGTGGAAGTATTTTGGCCTGGGATCCGAATTTTGGAGGCACAGAGCCAAAGGCTCTCTCACCTAAGGGACATAGATGTGGGCAGAGGTGAGGTCTGATAATCTGTGCATTCCCTGTCCCTGCTCCTGCTGGGATCTGGGCTGGCAGCTGGATTTTCTGAGCTGTCCCTCAGGGCTATGCTTGAAACACTGAAGGCAGCAGCAATTTCCCACCTTTCGGGGTGCAGGAGGGTGCAGGGGAGGAGGGAGGTGTGTAAGTCGGGGTGAGGTGCAGCCCAGCAGCCTCTCCTGTCCTGGGACCTGCTGAGCTGCAGGAAATCCTCCTGAACTGCCAGCTCAGGGCTTTCCAGGGGTCAAACCCTCAAACCTGGGCCTCTGCCTTAACTGGGCTGAAGTTAAGGCTGAACCAGAGAGTCCAGATTAACCCTTTGTCTATTCAAAGATGCTTAGAAGAAAAAACCCAAACCACCAAACAGCCCAAACTTCCCATCCCATGTACCCTCCACTGCTGCTGTTTGTGCCCTCCATTGCTGCTGTTTGTGCCCTCCACTGCTGCTGTTTGTGCCCTCCATTGCTGCTGTTTCTAACAACTTCCCCTCTGGCTCTTCTAATTATGTTTGAGCTCAAATCATTCCTTTCCCTGTTTCTCCTCTCTGGCCCCAGGAGAGCCCAGAAGCCCTGGGTCTTTTCCTGAGTGCAGGAATGTTTGGGGCTCGTCCAAAGCAGGAGCTGTGGAGCCCGAGGCTGCAGAGCATCGTCCACCCCCTGCTTTTGGCAGCAGGGGAGTGAAGAAGACTGACAAAGCTGATGTTAATTGGGCTGTTGACTGCTGTCTTCCCCACTCCTGTGGTCACAGGCAAAGCCACCAGAGCAGGGTGTTTATGCAAAGCCTTCTCTCCCCCTCCTGCCTGGGGAGAATTGCAGCTTTGTGCCCCCAACAATGTGAGGTTTGCTTTGCCCGCTGCTTCCCAGGCTTATCTCCTCTCCCTGGATCTCTGTCCTCAGCAAGGGGGGAAGGAGAACCCTGATGACAGTGGTGCAGGGGGAAGGGGAGTGAGCAGCAGATGAACCTCAAAGAGCTCGGTTTGGATTTTCCTCCAAACCTCTTTGATCACGAGCTGAGCTCTTTATCCCCCGGAGCTGCCTCGGGGGAAGGGCTGCCCAGATGTGAGCGATGATTAGGAGGAAACAATCCTGCCTCTGTGACAACCTTCTCCTCAGCACTGCAGGTACCAACATACACCAAAAGGAGTTTTTTAATCTCAGAGTCAGCTCAGTTTGACTTCCAGGGCAGGATTTCAGGGTCAGTTGTCACTTTGCCCCCTCACAGCCACTGATTCATTTTAAAGATCTTCCCTTTTGAAGCTCCTTTCAGTGTTTGACACATCCCATTCTGCAGAGCTCTTGGCTTGCCTTGGGTCAGCCAACAGTGAAATCAAGAAATACAACCTGCTTTTCAACCATCAAACTTGTTTAACTAAAGAAGATTCATAAAGAACTGTGTTTCTGTGCAAATCTTTGTCTCCCAAGTCTCACTTTGGAGCCTGAAGAATTCCTGCTGTTGCCTAAGAAACACCCAGCACAATTAAATCCAGAGGTATTGTTGGGGAGTCGAGGAGCTTGAAGAAACACTGGGATGTCACTGGTGCATTCGGTCTTTCTTTGCTTATCTGGGCAGGATTCACTCCTTGTAATTCTGGGAACTCTGCCCATGTTGCATGTCTAATCTGTCATGGATGCAGGGAGGGAGCAGGGAGACTCCTTCTCTTCTTCCCTCACACTTACTTACTGTAGGGAAAGCTGGAGAGTTTAATTAAATTGTTGGAAGTCGTTAAAGATCTCGTGTTTGCTTTGTGCAAACAGAGGGATGAGGTCTCTGATTAGGATGAAGTGTGGCATTGAAACATCTCTATCTTGCTGGAGTGGTGTGTGCTCCCTGCAGAGCTGGGGGTACCTGGACTCTTCTACTTGGAGCTGCCCAGGTTCTGCTCCAGGGGTGTCCCTGGCTCAAGGTCTGGTGTGTCCACGTTGCTTGTGGGGATGGAGCTGGATGGTGGGTGACCTGGGAACTCCTTCCCAGGAGGAAGGATGCACAGAAACACATCTGAGCAGGTTCCTCTGATGCACAGAAATGTGTCTGAGCAGAGACCTGGCCACCAAACCTGCCCAAGTTAAGCAACTCCTCCTGAAACCCAGGGAGGTGATCACAAGTGTTTGGTTTTAACCACCCTGCCCGTGAAGTACAAAGACACCAGTTCATGGTGATGTACTTCAGAATTATCTGCTAAGAGAGCTGAAACATTTATTAAGACTGTTTAACCAAGGGTCATTTTATATTCATTTCTTCCCAAAGCAAATGGGGAGAAAATTCATAAGTGCCGTTTAAGAACAAGGCTCGTTTCTGAGCACCAATTAATCTTGGGACAGAGCTGGAAATGTGGAGTTCCACTCCAGCTGCTAAAGCCATTTTCTGTGTTCTGGAGGCCACTCTTTGTTACATTCCCACAGTCCTGTGAGCATAGACACACGAACACAACCTCGGTTAAATGAACTCCGCATTTTCACCCTGCCCTGGGTGCTCCTTCTTCCTGGTGGATACTCTTCCTTGCTATGTCTTCCCAGATAGCATTGCTTAAAGGAATGGATTTCCAGGCAGCTGGAACCCCTGGCTGTGCACAACTAGAACCCCTGGTTGTGCACAGCTGGAACCCCTGGTTGTGCACAGCTGGAACCCCTGGCTGTGCACAGCTGGGAGATGGAAGCCGTTGTCTTGCACCACATATGAAACATGTGCCCACCTCGAAGTTCTGCCCTGTGAGCTCTGCTAACTCCTCTGCGTCTCTCTCTGCCCTTTGTGTTCCAGGTGCAAAGAGCTGAAATATGGCAAGGACCTGCCCCAGATCTCCATCATCTTCATCTTCGTGAACGAGGCACTCTCAGTGATCCTGCGCTCCGTGCACAGCGCTGTCAACCACACCCCGGCTCACCTGCTCAAGGAGATCATCCTGGTGGATGACAACAGTGATGAAGGTGAGCAGCATCTCCCAGCTCCAGAACACCAGGAGGGGGTTTAATTTCTTAAAATCTCACAGAGGAGTCGTTCTTCCCCCAGAGGCTGGTTGGGCACTGACCAGGCTCCCCAGGGCAGTGGGCACAGCCCCAAGGCTGCCAGAGCTCAGGGAGGGTTTGGCTGATCCTCTGGGGCACAGGGGGTGACTCTTGGGGCTGGGCCTGTGCAGGGCTGAGGGTTGGACTCTGTGATCCTTGGGGGTCCCTTCCAGCTCAGCACATCCTGGGGTTCTGTGAAGACTCTTGCCAAACTGAGAGTCCCCAGCCCTGCTGTGGATGTCCATGGTGTCCAGATATGTCCAGAAGTGGCCATGAGGAAGCCCCTGGAGCTTGGGTCATGCAGGGCAGAGGTGCTGGGCTGTGTCTGGACCTCCCTTGTCACAGTGGGACTGGTGAGGAGCAGTGAGGGGCTGGGGGCTCTGTGCAGGGAACAGACACAGTGCAGGTCATTACTGTGCTGTCCTGAAAAGTAGGTTCCTGGTGGCAGGGACCCACAGGCTGTGAGCTGCTACACCACACCAGGGGACCCTCTCCCCCAGTAAAGTCCTGCTGCTCTATATCTGTAATGGGATAAAAATTGTTGGTACATCCTAATTTTGGGCACGGTGACAGTGCTGGAGTGTGATGTGTTCTCCACACCGGTTTCCTCCAGCTTCTCAAGCAAAAAGAACAGGATCACACCACGCTTAAAATCTGAGGTAGTCGTTGTTTGAAAGCACAGCTGAAACCTAGAAGGTTAAAGGAAATCACAGATCCCTCTGACCTTTCTGGTCAGCAGCATCCAGGAGCTCTGCATTCAGGGGATCCTTGTTTCTAATAATAACCCTTTGGTTGGTGCAGAGATGCTCCTCTAAATTTAATTTCCCATGGAGTTGAGGGCCAGCAGCCTGGAGCCATGAGCTGTTGGGCTTTGGCCCCTTGCAGGGGTGTTAACAGATGTTTTCTCTCTGTGTGCCTCAGTTTCCCTGTTGTAAAATAACATCCCGGGGTCTATAAATGGTGGGACCCTGCAGAGACCCTCCTTCCTTATGTTTTGGGTGTGGCATGGAAAGGGGAAGTGAAGAGGAAGAGGAGGAAACAAACCCACCCAACCTGCCCAAGTCAGGCCCTGACAAAGCCCAGAGGGGGATGTTTGGTTTCCCACCTCACACACGTTGGTTCCAGTTTCTCTTGGTCACTGTTACCCTTCCTTCCCTTCTGCTTTTGATCCCACAGAACTGCAGGAGGGGTTTTCATCTGGAAGCACCTTCAGACTCAGATTCTTCCAAGACATTTTTTTCTTCCAACATACAGTTGGATAATGGCCTTAGGACATCAGGATAGTTAAAATCTTCTTGAAGAAGGTTTTTGCTTGCTGCCTTCTTCAACTGCCTTCATCAGTTGTGCTGCACGCTTTTAATATTATTAAAAAAATAATAAACACGATGCTGGGATCAGAGGGAAGAGCAGGGAGGGTGCAGGACGTGGAGAGCTCATTTCCAGAGGATTCTGAGACACTTTGTGGGAGAAGAGAGGGTACAGAACGAGCTATTCAAGCCTGGAAAAATAGGCACTCAAATCCCCCAGTAATGAGCACCACAGAGAGCTGATGAATTATAATTACCAGTAAAAGAAACAGGAGGGCAGCTCCTCAGCTGGTGGAAATCACAGCAGCTCCAGTGCAAAGCTTGGATGGTGTCCACCAGTGAAGCTGTGGGATTTCAGAGCTGGAACTATTTGGAGAGTGAAGGGGAAGTGCAGGTGATCTGTCGCTGCAATATCTGACGTTACCCAGTACTTAGAGGTACTTGAAATGCCAAAATGAGCTGCTCCTTCTCCAAATTCTACCCTGTCAATGGGGGAAGAGAAGAAAGCTCTTTAAAAGAGAACCCATCGGAATAATTGCTGAGCTTCTCCCCCCATGGCCGTGCACAAAGAAATGTGTTTCTGAGCAGCCTCTTCCAGTCACTCAGTGTGAGGCACTGAGGGTGATGGTGAGGTCAGAGCTCTGAAAAGGCCCAGGACAACAAAACAAATCCCTTCAGAAAGCAGCTCCCCCACAGGCTGGGGCTGCAGGATGACAAATCCTCATCTGCTGCTGAGCCTGCAAGGCACCACCTTCCCTGGGGGTGCTGAGGGGGCTGGGACAGTGCTGGTGGGGCTGGATGGTGCTGGGGTGTTCCAGGGCCGTCAAACGAGTGGCCAAAGCCTGTGGTGTGTTCAAGCCCTTCCAGCTCTCGGATCTCACAGAATCCCAGAAGGGTTTGGGTTGGATTGGACCTTAAAGCCCACCTCATTCCACCCCCTGCCATGGGCAGGGACACCTTCCACTAGCCCAGGTTGCTCCAAGCCCTGTCCAGCCTGGCCTGGGACACCTCCAGGGTTGTGTTGGAGTGCCCTGTAGCACCCCCACAGCGCGGGAAGGGGATGCAGGGCAATGACCCAAATTGGTGGGCAGAAGATGGGAAAATCCCAAATCTCCTTGCACAGCAGGCAGTGTGCCTGCTGCATCCCACCAAGAGGTTGCCTCAGGATCATGAGCTTCTAGGGTCCTTCACGATGGACCAGGGCTGTGCTGAAGGTTGTACAACCCCAAGGTGGTTCTGTCCTCAAAAACATCGGGATGGAATGCAAGGAGAGAGGGTGTGGGGAGTGAGGTGATGTTTTTAGCTGGTTGGGTTAGTTAATAATGTCAGTGCTCTGCTGGTGAGTCTTTGCAGGCATCACGACAAATGAGATTTTTTAAGGAGGGATTTGAAGGAAGATAATGAGGTAACTTGGCAGATGTTTATGAAGAGCTCCTCCTAAGCGTGTAATAATCTGCTTTTCTCCTGTAAAAGAAATGATACAAACCAGAAAGTGGCTCTGGGTCTCCTGTGTTCACTCTCAGCATTGTCAAGGAGCTTCAATGACAGCAAAGAATTATTAATGGCAATAACATTGTCATAGAGTTCCCACTAATGGGAGGCAATAATTGGGAGCAGCAGCAGCAACATCATATAGTTGATGCTTTGGATATTGCAAACAAAGTCGTTGTAATAAATAGATTTGGCTTCTACAGGAAAATAATTACAGGAAAATAGTTCCTCATGAGCCTTAAGATTTAGAGATGAATCCTGGAGGATCAAGGGCTGGTGTTGAGCAGAGGATGGGGCTGTGTGGGTGTGCCTTTGCAGGCTGTGATGGAACAGGAGGAGGAATTGCTTCAGCCTCTTTGGGAGCAGCTGTGGGGGTTGGAGGGACGCTTTCCATGGGGGTATGGCTGATGGGAAAAGCCTTTGGGAGTCACCTCTGTACACCTGAGGGAAGGTTGACCCGCAGAGAGCAGTGGCTCAAGCCCAGGAGCTGTGTTGGACTTCTGGGAAAGTTGCTCAAGGCTCAGGAAGGTCCGTGGCTGGGGGGATTTGTGTAGCTTTTGTCAGGAGGAACCACAACAATATCTGAGTAACTGAACAACAGAGCACCGAATATTTAAAAGACTCCTGGGATTTCCAAGTCAGCTTCAGCTTTTAAAATTAACCCCCTGGGCAGAGGAAGAGCCACCACCCGGTTGCTCTGTGCCCTCCAGGTAAACCCTGCCCAGTTCCCCAGCCACAAGCAAAGCCTGATGTGTGGTTTTCAGACTGGAACAAACTGCTCCTGAGGACTCCTTAGGCAGTCCTTGCCCTCAGCTTTGTTGTCGTGTGGCGTGTACAACATCACTGCACAACATAAAAGTGTGCAGTGAGAGATTAAAGTTAATGAACACAGGCATTCTGCTGCTTTATGTCTGAGCTGTAAATAGATAAAAGATGCCAGTGTATGGTAACGGGGGGGGGGGGAATCTCTCCTTAAAGGAGAAAGCTTGGGGAGTTAGTTGTAGTCTGAACCCCCTTCTCCCCTGAGCTGCACATTACACTTCATAAAGGCTTTTTTGGAGGCTGCTTTTATTTGTGCTTGTTGCAGGGGTGTGATTACAAAGCCAGTGTGCAGGTTGTGTTTGGGAGTGATAACGTGGCTCCTCGGCTGGTGGAGGGATGCAGCCACGTGCCCCTGAGATGCTCTGTTATCTCCCAGCTGCACACTTTGTCTGAGCCTGTTGCTTAATCATCACCTGCTTTCTCTTGTTGTTGTTTTTTGTCGTCTGCCTTTTAGTGCTTTTAATCTGGGATAATATCTCTTTGAAAAGTATAAAAGCAACCCTTTGGATAAAAGGCTGCTAAAGGAGCTGGCTACATTCGGGGAGACACGCTCGGGGTTGTAATTTACCTCGGAGTAACGTGTTGGCTGTCTTGATGTATCACTTTCTTGTTTTGCAGCTCATTTCAACAGCAACAGCAGTGGTTGGTGTGCTCTCACTCCCCCAGGAGCTGGCTCGGGGTGTTTGTGTTCAGAGGGAGAATTGCAAGGAGCTGAGTCACATCTCAGCCTTTCCCAGGCTCTGGTCCAACCCCAGTGCCGAGTTATTCCAGCTGGAGATGGGTTGTTTAAGTGCAGCTCACCTGGTGCTCTCCACTGGTGTTCAGGTCTGAGGCTTTTGGGGTTCCCAGGGCATGGAGGAGAGCAGCAAACCTGAACTCCTTGGGGTGTCCTGTGCAGGGCCAGGAGTTGGACTGGATGGTCCTTGTGGGTACCTTCTGACTCGGGATATTCTGTGATTCTGTTTGGGTTTCACTGAACCAAATGAACCAGAGGCTTGACCTGAAGGAATGGCTGGAGTTGTGCCAGGGCAGGGTCAGGTTGGATCTCAGCAAAAGGTTCTTCCCCCAGAGGCTGGTTGGGCACTGACCAGGCTCCCCAGGGCAGTGGGCACAGCCCCAAGGCTGCCAGAGCTCAGGGAGGGTTTGGCTGATCCTCTGGGGCACAGGGGGTGACTCTTGGGGCTGGGCCTGTGCAGGGCTGAGGGTTGGACTGCAGGATCCTTGTGGGTCCCTCCCTCCCAACTCAGCACATTCTGGGATTCTGTGAAATGCTCCAAGTGGGACCAGCTTTGCCTGTGACCCTCTGTGAGAACTGATTCATTCACCTGCTCCCCTTTCACAGTTTCCTCTGGTACAGTTGCAGGTAAAAAGCTTCAGAGACTCACCTGGCTCTGAGTCTCCCTGTAAAAATGTCTGTCTGTATTTATTGCCTATTGAAGGAGATGCTTTAGTGAGCTCCTGCAGCAGAAATCCCCCTTGGGATGGCTTTGGTATCTCAGGCAGGTGGGACAAGGGGAGCTGGTGTCTCCCATGGCACTGGAGCACTCCCAGCCCTGGGTGCTGTGTCCTGCAGCCCTCGGGGTGTCTGAGAACAGCTCTTATCAGGTGGCTTTTCCCACCCAGCTGGCAAACACCACTCTGTTTTCTTTAGAGGTGTAGAGGGGGTGTGGCCCCCAGGACCATCTGGACATTGCTGGGTGAGGAATTTGCTGCTTTTGGGAGTTCCTTGAGCTTCTCTGATGCTGTTGGTCTTTACTCCTTTCTCTGTGTGTCAACAGGCACTTCCCGCCTTTAGTCCTGGGGGCTTCAACAGGATTTGGAGAGGTTTGGGCAGGATTTGGGTGTGGAGCACTGAGCATTTGGGCTGATGTCCATGCACTGCTTATTTTCAGTGGCATCAGGTGGCTCAGTTTCTCTGGCAGGCCCATTTCCCAGCGAGCTGTGTAGGTGATAAAATAGTTTGCAATAGATACCATAAGTCATTGCAGCTGGCAGATGGGTTTTTTAATAAAGCAACAGGTCTATTGGATTGTAGTTCCTTGGACTTGCCCTTCAGGGAAGATCAATATGGACAGATGGAGAACAAAAGGCAGGATTGAAATTGAACCTGCTGGTGTTTTCAGTGGGGTTTCTCTCTGCAAATCTTCCTGGGAAGCAGCTCGTGCTATGGCAGAGATCAAACTTTCACAGATTGCATCCTAAATAAACAGGAATGGTGTGGGTGTGCTCTGAAGGATGGTCCAGTCAGCAAAGGATGCCTGAGTGTGTGTGGGAAGAGGACCACAGGGTGCAGAAGAGAAAGGAGTCTCCAGACTCCGTGGCAGTGCTTGGTTTGGATGGAATTGCTGGTTGGCAGAGAATTTAATTGTCCAAGGCCAGGTTGGACGGGGCTTGGAGCAACCTGGGCTAGTGGAATGAGATGGGCCCCTTCCAACCCAAACCCTTCTGGGATTCTGTGATTCCTGGAGACTGGCATTTCACTTTTTTGGTGTAATATTGGATTTTCCAGAGGTGCAATTCTGGATGCACTGGGAAATGAAGTACAAAGCCCACGCCAAGTGAGTGCCAGGGATATATCTCAGGATGCTGAAATAGTGCTGTGCCCTGTGCCCTCTTCCCACAGAGCTGCAGAACAGCTCAGAAGGGGGAGAGACTGGCCAAGGCCAGCTCAGGGATGCAGCCATCCCCTGATTTAGGGCTTGCAGGTCCCAGAAAAGGGAATTCTCCCCCAGAAGGTGTGTGCTTACCTGAGCTAGATAGGAGGGAAGGCAGGGAGCAAAGCCTGGAATTTTGCATGAGGTTTTACAGGAAATCCTTATGGAGAGAGGGCCTGGAACTGCCTTTCCCACATCTGGTCGATGCTTTGCTCTCTCTGGAGTTTCTCCCCTTGGGAAGCAACCCTTAGGGATGCCTGCAGTGGGCAGGAGAGGGGCACTGTGCCCTCTGCTAAGGAACAGGGGTGAGGTGACGATGGGGACAATCAGGAGCATCTTCCCACCATCTCTCCACGGTCACCTCGGACCCAGGTGTGTGGTGGCCTCTGTGCTCCCAGCACATCATCCCTCACCTCCTGCCATCCAGCATCCCCTCAGGAGGAGCAGGATGTGACTCTGGCTCCTTGGGGACTTCCTTAAGAGCCTGGTGGGTGTAGGAGTCTCTCAGGTTTGAACCCTTTGCTGCCTCTTACAGTCCTTCCCTGTTCTGCTGGAGCCACACTCTCCTTTGAGCTGCTCAAACAGTTCCCAAGAGGATTTGTCCTCTTTTCCTTCCGTTGAGATTAAAACTCCAACGAGGAAGTTGTTTTAATTGTTTTAATTTAAAATGACTTCCCTGCTGACAAAGCCACCTGAGATGCCAGTGCTGTCCTTGTGGGGTTTGATCTGTCAAAAAAGTCCCTGTCTCTGTCTCCTTAAAACCATTCAGGAGAGTTGTTGTCTCCATAAAATCCTGTTTTTTCTCCGAGTGGCTCAGCATGAAATGGAAGTTGCTGAGTTATGGCTGAGTGTGATGCAGATGCTTTGAATTGAGGAAGGGGCTCATTTGCTTTATTCTTTTTATTCCCACTTCAGCATAAATGAGAAAAGAGACTTTGGGGAAATGGAGATGTGAGGGGAGCCAGCCCAGAAAGGCAGGACTGAAGAAAGCACATTTTCTGTGCTTGGAGGAAGGCGTGGAAGGGAAGGGAACAGATAATCCTTTTCCTTTGATGATTTCAAAGCAGATGGGACTTGCTGTTTACTCTTTTGCTCTCCATTGCTGTGTTTCCTTCATGTAGGAACTCATGTGTCTTAAATATTTTCCCACGTGGATGATTCTGATGGTGGCTTTTTTTCCTCTATATTTTTGTTCTGGAGAGAGAATGTGTGAAGGGCAGTAGCCTGTAATTTGAGATTGTGGATCATGTCTTAATTTTCTGCTGACCTGAAGCCTCATAGGGATGAAAGACATTTTTAGGAAGTGCTTTCATGGTGTTAAGAGTCAATGTTGGTGCACAGTGGCATTGCTCAGCTTTTAGAGCTCCTCTCACCCTCAGGCCTTTGTGCATTGAACTGATGCAACAGGCACTGAAAAGACCAAGGTTTCTGGCAGAGCACTGGCACTTCTCCAAGGGATGGAAAAACACACTTGTGCTTACCCCTCATTGTAACTTTCCATGTGCTTCCACCTTCAAAGCCCTGTGTGTCTTTTATACTCAACACTTGAACTATATCAAGAGTTTTCCTCCTGGTGGTGACTTCAGGCTGCAGGTCCACGAGGTTCTCAGCCTCAGTTACACACACAGGCTTGGACAACAGAGTGCAGTGATCTGCACCTTCCAGTGAGCAGAAGATATGTGCTCTGAGGGTCTTCTGAACGAAGGCAAAAGCTCTTTCATCTCATCAGAAAAGCGGGGGGGTTTTCAACTTTTCTACTGGCAAAGCTTGGAAAACAAACAGCAAGTGCCAGGACTGGCACAGTGAGGCTGAGTGAGAGGGCAGAGAGGCTCAGATGTAGTGTTGGTGTAGTCTGAGTTACTTCAGATGGGTTTGGCAGCATTTCTAAGGAAGATATTAAGCTGTTGGAGAGTGTCCAAAGGAGAGAACGAGGATGGGGAAGGGCCTTGATTCGAAGCCGTGTGAGGACACTGAGGGCACTTGGTGTGTTCAGCTGGAGAACAGGAGACTGAGGGGAGACCTCACTGCAGTTCCAACTTCCTGGGCAGGGGCAGAGGAGGGGCAGGGACTGAGCTCTGCTCTGGGGGGACCAGGGACAGCAGCCAGGGAATGGCTGGAGCTGTGTCAGGGCAGGCTCAGGTTGGATCTCAGCCAAAGGTTCTTCCCCCAGAGGCTGGTTGGGCACTGCCCAGGCTCCCCAGGGCAGTGGGCACAGCCCCAAGGTTGCCAGAGCTCAGGGAGGGTTTGGCTGATCCTCTGGGGCACAGGGGGTGACTCTTGGGGCTGGGCCTGTGCAGGGCTGAGGGTTGAACTCGATGATCCTTGGGGGTCCCTTCCAGCTCAGCACGTTCTGGGATTCTGTGATTCCAGCAATGCATTCTGCCAAAACCTCCCTCAGAAGCTCAGGGTACTGGTGTCTGGTACCCACAGGTGATTTTTCTCTGTCCTTCTCTTTCAGTAGGGTGATACCTAAATCTGACAAAGGACTGTAACTGTCCTCTCCCTGCCCTTTGCCCCCAAGGTGGCACATGGGCTCCTTAATCCAACAGCAGTGTTCTTGGCAACCTTGAACCTCTTCTGTGGGTTGTGCTCGGTCCAGGGGGTCTCTAAGGCGGGTTTATTTTAGGTGACAGCTGTTGCACCTTTCCAATGGGTTCTCTGTGGCACTTGTTCTCCAGAGGAGCTGAAGGCGCCGCTGGAGGAGTACGTGAACAAGAGGTACCCGGGGCTGGTGAAGGTCGTGCGCAACCAGAAGAGGGAAGGTCTGATCCGAGCCCGGATCGAAGGCTGGAAAGCTGCCACGGGCCAGATCACGGGATTTTTTGATGCCCACGTGGAGTTCACTGCTGGCTGGTAGGTGCTCAACCTAGGGGTCTGGGTTGGAGGGGGTGTAATGAATCAACCAAGGACCAGTGCATTGTTTTGTGAGGGTGTGTCCTTGCAGAATGACAGACGAGTCCTTTGGCCATTAATTCCTTCTGTATGGAATGGCCACTGATAAGGAATGTTGGGAACATACAAGGAAAACAGTGACAGCACCCAGGGAATGGCTGGAGCTGTGTCAGGGCAGGCTCAGGTTGGATCTCAGCCGAAGGTTCTTCCCCCAGAGGCTGGTTGGGCACTGCCCAGGCTCCCCAGGGCAGTGGGCACAGCCCCAAGGCTGCCAGAGCTCAGGGAGGGTTTGGCTGATCCTCTGGGGCACAGGGGGTGACTCTTGGGGCTGGGCCTGTGCAGGGCTGAGGGTTGGACTCCAGGAACCTTGGGGGTCCCTCCCAGCTCAGCACGTTCTGGGATCCTATGAAAACCTCCCCTTGCCCTTGTTTCCTCTCATCCGCTGTTCCCTCCCTTTGTGCACTTTCCCTGCTCCCATTTTTGAGGATGATTTCCCATTCCCTTAGCCCTGAGTAATTTCTGTAGGTTTAAGAAAGCCCAATCACAAGGGAATGAAGGAGAAAGTGTTTCCATTTCCATGCCCTTTGAAGCTGGATCCCAGTGGGGAAGGCTCAGATGCTTTGGATTGATTTGTTTCCTCTGCTGCTGGGAATAAGTGCAGAGGTGCAGAAGCAGCAAAAGGTGTCTCTTAAGGATTTTTTTTCAGAGAGATTCAAAACATTTGAGCTCAACTGGCTTAAGGTTGAATCTATATCATGACAGGAGCCTGAGAGGGATTTTTTTTTTCCCTTTAACCTAGTGTAAGAAGTAAATGGTCCATGTTTGTGGAAGAAGCCAGAGTTCTGCACAGTTGTTGACTTTGTAACAACAATGCAGCTGAAGGGTGTCCTTAGGAGCTGTCTCCTCTGTTGATATCTGTATTCCCAGCTGAACATTCCTCTCTCCAGGTCACTAAGTCCTCACACCTGATTTTATTGATCTACTGAGGAAGCTCCTATTTACTGAGCTCTTGAAGCCTCTTTTCTAGGAGTAGAGTGGAGGTGTTTTTGCAAGGTGGGCTTGACTCCCTCTGGTATTTTGTTCCCACTGCTGGAGACACCAAGAGTGCAGGTTACCCCTTATGTTGGCAGAGGGAGCCCAGGGCAGATGGTGGCTGAGCACAACTCCCTGCTCTGAACATGTTTGAGTGTCCCAGAGCTGAATTTTGTAGCTGCAGAGTCACCAAACTGTATCCCAAGGGAAAAAAGACCCTTCAGACAGTCCTGCTTTCAAGAATTTACCTTGTTCTTCTCAGGGAAATGGGGTTTGGATTTGGGGAAAGTCTGGACTAGTTCAGGCATGGTTTGAACAAAGCATGTCCTTCATGGCCTTCCTTTCCAGAAGGGAAGGTTTCAAGCCAGGCTTCCCAGCCTGGGAATCGTGTTTTCATCCAACACAAGAAAGCCATGGAGCTGTTGGTCCATATGAGGACCACGAAGATGCTCTGAGGGCTGGAGGACAGGCAGAGAGAGCTGGAGTTACTCAGCCTGGGGAAGAGGAGGCTCTGAGGAGACTGAAGAGCACCTTCCAGTACCAAAGGGAGCCTCCAAGAAAGCCGGAGAGGGACTTTCGAGGAGTGACGAGACGAGGGGGAAATGGCTTCCTGCTGCCAGAGGGGAGGGTTAGATGGGATATTGCGAAGAAACTGTATGGAAGCTACACTGCCCAGCTGCAAATTCTGGGAGGAATTCACCATCTCTTCCTGTGCTTTGCTTCTTTTCCCCACTCAGGGCTGAGCCGGTGCTTTCCCGGATCCAGGAAAACCGGAAGAGGGTCATCCTGCCCTCCATAGACAACATCAAGCAGGACAACTTCGAGGTGCAGCGCTACGAGAACTCTGCCCACGGGTACAGCTGGGAGCTGTGGTGCATGTACATCAGCCCCCCCAAGGACTGGTGGGATGCTGGGGACCCCTCCCTGCCCATCAGGTACGTCCTGGAGCCTGGAGGAGGCTCCCTGTCCATCAGCAGTGGGATAATCCTGCACTTGGAGGAGCCTCCGGGAAAGGTTGGGAGGGATTTTTACAACAGCTCGAAGTGACAGGGCAAAGGGGAACAGCTTCAGCCTGACAGAGGGAAGGGTTAGGGGGGTATTGGGAAAAAATGCTCCAAGGGCTGGAGCCCCTCTGCTCTGGAGCTGGGCTGGGAGAGCCGGGGGGGTTCACCTGAAGAAAAGAAGGATCCAGGGAGACCTGAGAGCCCCTTCCAGTGCCTAAAGGGGCTCCAGGAGAGCTGGAGAGGGACTGGGGACAAGGGATGGAGGGACAGGACAGAGGGAATGGTTTCCCACTGCCAGAGGGCAGGGTTAGATGGGATATTGGGAAGGAATTGTTGGCTGTGAGTGTGGGGAGGCCCTGGCACAGGGTGCCCAGAGAAGCTGTGGCTGCCCCTGGATCCCTGGAAGTGTCCAAGGCCAGGTTGGACGGGGCTTGGAGCAACCTGGGCTAGTGGAAGGTGTCCCTGCCCATGGCAGGGGGTAGAAGGATGTGATCCTTAAGGTCCCTTCCAACCCAAACCATTCTGGGATTCCATGAAATGCAGGGAGATGAAGGGAGGAAGCCACCTTGGGGTTGGGAGAGTGTCACAAGCCCTGACAGCTCAGAGAGGCTGTGACACAGCCAGGAAGAGTTTGGAAGGGTGAAGAGATCTGGAAAAGCAAGAGCACTGGGGAAGTGTAGGAACTGTAGAGATTTGTAGTCTGGTGTTTTATTGCTTCTGACAGAGTGGCTTTGCCTTAATGAGAGTGTTAAGTTTGCGCAAATCCTAAGGAATGAGATGATTATTCCTGTGTCATGGATTGTGTGTGGATTCATGAATGCAGCACTGTGTTTTCATGAATGGGAAGTCCTGCTCCTCTCAGGGCAAACTTGGGGAAAAATGTGTCTTGGGTTGTTCTGTATCAGAAGTGCTGCTGTGATCAGCAGTGGTTTATGGCCAGGTGGATAAGATCCACCTGGATCCTAACTTGGATTGTATGGTGAGGGCTTGTCCTCAGGCAAAGAACAGCTGCAAATGTGCAAATCCCCACCTGCCTGGAATCCTGAACCAAAATATCTGTGCTTTGCTCAATGACATAATCCCTGGAAGCTGAAATCAGGTCTATTCCCATTTACACAGAGACCTTTTTTATTCCTTTTGGCTCCCATGATCCAGACAGCAAATTCAGCCATCAGAGGAGGAATTGACAGTTTATTCTGGACAGGAATCAAGCCTTTGACAAATAAACAGTTACTTTAACCAAGTGCAAGCTGCTGGAGTTGTTAAAGGAGGGGCTGGGTGGCTGGGGCTGACAGGAGGTGGGGTGTGAGGGGTGTGCTGGTGGCAGCAGCTCCTCCACCCCAGTGCCCAGACTGGGACCTCTGGAGGATCATAAAAGTGGATCATTTCTGTTGGGATGAACCTTTCTCAGCCAGTGGATGTAACAGTCAATAAACATTTGGGAGGGAAGAACAACCTCTCTTATTGATTGAAGCGCCGCGTTTGGGTGAAACGGGAAAGCTTTGGCAGATGGAATGTCCCCTGTGACTGTGACACCAGCCTGCAGCTTGCTGGGCTTCAAAAACCACCAAATAAAGTGCACTGAGGAAACTGGACCCCCCCAGTGTGACATTTAAATATCTGGCAGGACCTTCTGCTCCATTGTCCTCCAAACAGGGGCTGAGTTTGTTTGCTGGTGCTCAGGGGAGCGGCCGAGGACGAGCTGTGGCAGAGCCAGCTGGGGAGGGATGGGGTTGGGTTGTGGAGTTTGGTGTTTGATGGCAGAGGGGATGGGAAGGGACAGAGACAGGCAATGCTGATCAGCTGGGGAGGAGGAGAAGAGCTGTGGGAAGCTGAAGGGTTGGATGAGCCCCAAGAGGTGGAGTGGAGAGGTCAGTCCTTAGTGCAAGGAGGGGGTGGGATCTTTAGGACGAGGCTTTTCCCCAGGCTGTCCAGATATGAACCAGTTTACAGGTTACCTGTGAGCCAGGAGTGTAAATGGGGTCACAGGGGTTTTGGACACTCCCATGTGACTCCAGATCTGCCAACACTCTTGTTTTCCTTGGTTCAGAGCTGAGAACAAGCAGGAACTACAAGCTCTGACCAAGTGCTGCCTCAGGGTTTTATCCACTGCTGTGGAAGGGAAGGGTTTGCTGTGGGAGTTGTTTCTGTTGGGCAGAATGTCATAGTGGGTTGTTCTGGTGCTTGTTTTATCTTTAAAAATACCTGTGGATGGTGCTAAAATGTGGACAGGACATGGAGGTGTGTGTTTCTGCATTGAAGCTGGTTGCAAACAGTCACTGCTTAGGAGGAGCTGGGAGGTGTGATGGGTTTCTCGCTCTGCTCTGGGGTTCCTACAACCTTTCTGCACCCTCTACATCCCTTTTTGGAGACAACCTGAGGGCAGGTGATGCCCCATCATCCCCATGTAATCCTGAGGGTCTCCCCGATGAGTTGAACCACCAGGAATTAGAGGTTGTGGAGACACCTGAGTGGCAGCAACGAGGCTGGATGTTGTTGAAGGCATCTGGGATGTGGATCTGTGGATGCTGCTGCTCGAGGCCATAGGGAATCAGAGCTTGGGGGCTCCAGGGAGTCGGGGTGAAGGAGCTGCCTCAGGAAAGGGCTGCTCTGAGCAACCCAGTAACCTCCCAGCCATGTTAAATAATTAAAGAGCTGACTAAAATAACATTGTTAGCATGCGCTGGGGAGAGGGTTATGAGAAAGATAAATGGGTGGTGTCCACAACAAAAAGCTAATGAAAAATGCTGTCTCATTGCATTACGTTGTGTAACCACATATGGCCCAGAATAAATGAGCACAGTTATTTTTTTGTCATGTAATGCAATGAAAACTCTGCACTTTATAGCAATATTTGCATGGAAGGGATACCAGTGCAGTGCTCCATGTAATTATGCATGGGATTAGAGGAAATTTGGAAATTATAGTCTACAGAGGTACATTAGTTTTTTCAGAGATGTTTTAGGATAAAAGAGTGAGAGGGAAGCAAAGCAGTTTATTCCTTATTTTTGGCTTTACTCTCTCGGTGCTTGGGGATTGTGGCAGCCCCAGGAGGAGCCCCCCTGCCCACCAGAGGTGCTCCAGCCTATCTGTGAGCCCAGGAGGGTCAGCCCTGACCAAATATGTGGCAGCAGGACTGGAGACAGAGAGAGGGTGAATGTGTTAGGAGGCAATTTTCTCTCCTGGATAATTCACTAGATATAATTATATATCCAGGCAAAGAGAGCTGATGGCATCTAAAATATGGCCCAGTCTCAAACTGGCTCCAGGCTCCAACTTTATCCAATAATTTCCCTACAAGAAATAGCCTCTCTTAATGCCTGGGGTGGATGCTGTGTAATACCTGGAGTCTGTAATACATCCTCAGTTGGATTTTTTTCCCATTAACATTTAAAATCCTGATATACAAAGATCTCTCAATCTTAGCACTCAGCTGGGCCTGATTTCACAGCCAGGCTTTCCTTGCCAGACTCTCTGTCCAGAAGATAAAACTGTGATTACAGAGTAATGGATCATGTGTAAATTAGTTCTCCCACAAGAGGCAGACAGTGAGTGACATTTGAAATGGTCACCACACGTCCTGACCTTCATCAGCCTCAGCTCTGGCAGAGCTGTTTGGGTTTCCTGGGTCAGATGGTGCTGGGGTGGGTGTGGGAATGAATCTGTGCTTCAGTTAGTACCTGGATGAGCTTTGCTGCAGGAGATGTAGCCAGGATTTATCCAGACCTTTGTTATTAATGATGTAAATTGGTCAGAGTTTGCTGAGAGTCCAGAAAACCTGTGAGTCCCCAAAAATGGAAGAAAGCTGATGCTTTCAGTGTCCTGTGGGAAATCCAAAGAAGGCCTTTGGAAATGCTGGGAAATTGCAGGTTGATGACCTGGTCTCGGGGTATCCCGGGGTGGGATCTGCTTTCTCAGCATCTCCAGGAATGATTCATTGCCCACCTGACAGAACAGGAGCTTTTTTTGGGGGGGGCCTTCTTGGGTTCTGGTGCAAACCCCAGTGCCAGCAGTTCTTCTACCTGACCTGCTGAGTTCCTGCTGCAGCAGGGCTGGTCAGAAAGGGGCTGTGGAGAAGTTCCTGATCCCGGGAAGATTTACAACTGGATGTGCAGATTGTGCTTCAGCCTCCTGGTTTATGATTCCGTGGGTGAGGTGTTGGTGGCTCCAGGGGTCTGATTCAGGGAAACAATGAAATGCACTCCTGCATCTGGGTCTCTTCAGGAAGCAGGGAGGGCATAATGAGCAGCCTTGGGGACGAGGGACACTTCCCTGAGCACGGAAATTGGGGTGGTCACACTTTTCTGCCAGTTCTGAATCTTAGATCTTTGCTGCTTGTCCATCACCAGTGCTGTGACCACACTGTTATCAAAATCACAGGATCTTTAAGGTTGGAGAAGCTCTCCAAGACCATCAAATCCAACTTTGGACCAAGTACCCCCATGGCAAATAAACCACATGATGAGAGGCCACATCTCCTTGTTTTTTGAACCCTCCCAGACTCCACCACCTCCCTGGAGAGGTTAGATGGATTCTTTACAAATTCCTGACTTTCTCTTTGCGTTTTCCACACTTGGCTGGGCAGAGCAGTGCAGTCCAAGAGGAAAATAGCTCTGTTAGTGAACAACCTCCCAGAACGTGTTGGGGCTCAAGGAGAAGTCCTCAGGTGACTTTGGAGTTGCCAAGAAGCCTCTTTCCAAGCACACCAGTGTGTGGATGCCAGCTGGGAGGGTAAATTGGATTTTGGATAGGGCTGTGCTGCAGCTGCTTTATGTGGCACTTAATCTTTACTGGTGTTGGAAGACAAAAGCTCATTTAATTAGTATTAAGATCACTGTGAGGAGCAAATCAGGTCTGAGAGTTACGGGTTGTGAAAGAATAGAAAGGCTGTTGGTTTGGGGCTTTTCTAAAGATGAAAATAATTTGAATTA